GAATCCAAGGTGTAGGGCCCGGCGCGCGCTGCCGGCTCCCCGCGCCCCGGGAGCAAGAACGCCCAGGCGCCCCTGACGGCTTCCCTGGGGCTGGGGGGGGGAAGGGGGGCGGGTGCGAGAAAGAGATCTGTGTTTACTCAAGACCCAGAGCAGGTGAACTCGAAGCCCGCAAACCGCGTCTGTTTCATCCAAGGCAAACACAAAAGCCACGGACCGTTGCACAGAAAGGAAAGTTTGAGGAGGGGTGGGAGAGTGGCTTGCAGATTTGTCTTGGGTTCTTTTTTCTGTGTCTGCTTCGGCCTTCTTTGGTGTGTGCGTGTGATGCATCTTCAGTTTGGGGGGTTGTCTTTTTTTTTTCTTTTTCCCTCCAGGTGGTTTTTGACACTTGCTTCTAGGACTGGGTTGTGGAAGGGAGAAGCATAAATGTCTATCAACTTGGCTTCCATCCCATTGCAGGGAACAGGAGCAGTCAACTGGAGAGAGAAGGAGGAATGACAGTTGTCAGGACGTGTTCCCTTTGCTTTCCAGAGAAATTTCATTTTACTTCCTGAGTAATGGTTTTTCCTGTTCTTAAAGCAAAGGGAAAGGATGGATGCGAAAAGCACGTTTCAAGAAATTTTAAGCTATTCTTGGAACAAGCCTCACTTTGCTTTCTTTTTGTAGGGCAAACCTGCTGTCCCCGTGCGCCTCGGTGGTCAGGCTGAGGGGTTTCTACCTCACACTGTGCACATTGCACAGCAAGATAGAAAGACTTGTTTATATTAAACAGCTTATTTATGTATCAATATTAGTTGGGAGGACCAGGCGCTGAGCCTCTGTGATATGTGACTCTGTCCATTGAAGACAGGACAGAAAAAAAAAAAAAAAGGAAACAGTTCAGATTACTGCACACATGGGTAAAAAACAAAACACAAAACAAGGGGTGGTTCCAAATACCATTTTTGCACAGTGTTAGGAATTGTAAAGTCCACACAAGATACTACTTGCACAAAAAGAAATTAAATATTTTTTAACTGGGGCAGGGGGCAGATCTTACAAAACTAAAATAAAACTGAAACTCTACTTCTGTTGTCTATTATGTTATTGAGCTAATGATTTATTGGAAAAATACATTTTTATACTCTTTTATCATGGTACTGTAACTGTATCCATATTACAAATATAATTATCTTAAGGATTTTTATTATTTTTTTATGTCCAAGTGCCCACGTGACTGCTGGTAAAATTTAGCACCTGTGTGTAAATGGTATTTCCTCTGTGTGTTTTACCAAGTATTTATACTCTGGTGCACCTAACTACTGTGTGAGGGATTGGTCCATGTGCAATAAATACCAATGAAGCACAATCAAGATTATGTACCGTGTGTCTGTAAGGGGTCAGTGATAATGGAGAAGACAGTTTGTTTTGTTCAAAATATAGGCTGGGTTTCCCATAGAGCTCTTTTAATAGCTTTTCATGACTCAGTAACATAGCAAAATGCCTCTAGACCAAATAAGGCATGTACCTACTGAGAGCTGCAGACTTGCTCTAAATTTTCACAGCCAGATTCAAGGTATTCTAGACTACTTACAGATGTTTTCAAGATCCCATCTGCTGCACTTAAGAAGTATCATGTGGGATTGTGTCTCTTTAAAAAAAAAAAAAAAAAAAAGCCATAGAGCCAGGTAAATCAACTGCAACTTTTGCACAGAAACGCAGGGGAAAAAACTAACTCCTTGAATAATGAGTTGCGTGCCTGGAAAGAGGTAAGTGGCTTCCACAGTTTGTTTTTGTTTTCCAGTAGAAAATCACAGCCTGCAGATGATGATCAGTGTGTGCAGATGTCTCCAGTGGCCGTTTAGAATGAAAAGTGCTTTTATGCTTAAACAAAAATGTATAAAAACAGCTTTTTAAGTCAACACTTTCTTTTCTCTTATATAATTATATAGACCATTTTTCCAGAATTTGGGGGTGGCAGGTCACAGGTAAAAGCAACTCCCCAGCAACATTGTGACATCCAAATGGATAGGATATTTTTCATAAAATTGGTTTCTAAAGAAAGGATAGTGAAGTTCCATCCTGGGATTAATTCTGCGTTCTCCAGAATAAGTTGAAGTCTTTGTCTTTTTAAGCAAGCTTTATATTTCATGATCGTACAGTAAAGAAACCAAAGTGAGGATTATAAAGTTTTGACTCCGACTGAGCTTGAGCATGAAGAAACTATTCTCTGCTAAGGAAAGCCAAGATTGATTATTCCCCTTTTTTTTTTTTTTGCAATGGAATATTCTAAAGATCAGGAGACAGTCTTCTGAGAAAGGTTATCATGATATAGATGTTTTAGAGACCAACAGAAGGTTGTATAAACAAAAGCTGCTATGAAGTTTAACCCCCTTCTCCAGGGAAAAGAAAGGGAGGGAGGGAGAGAGAGAGAGAGAGAGAGAGAGAGGAAGGAAGGAAGAAAGGAAGGAAGGAAGGGGATGATGGCAAAATTTACTTAAAAATACAAAGAAAAATACTGAAAGAAACTTAGTTCAGAGAATATAAAATCAATCTCAGGATGAAATCTCACTCTTTCCCCAAGAAATAAATAGAGCCCACTTTTATCCTCCCTTACTCCAGGAGTATGTAAGATGCATTTTGTTAGGGGTTTTGTTCATCTTTATTTCAGTTTATAGTAGAAAATTAATAGACAACACCCACAGTTTCATCTGAAGAACACTCAAGTGCCAGGGTAATCCTTCCCTTTATTCTGTTTAGATAAGTCCTTGTGTCTAAATAAAAAGACATTTTCCCAGCCCCATTTTCCAGGCCCATCAAACCTCAGGTCTTAAAATCATGACACTCCTGTAAACTTTAATAAACGAATATATATAATTTAACTACTTGGTCGAAACTCTAGTGAGTTGCAAGAAACGACTATAATCTTGGGACCATTTTGTATGTATTTGTAGGAAATAGAAAAAGATTTTTCTAGGATCCCTTGAGTACTCTGAGGATTACAAGGATTCCGAAACAGACCGGGTTGGTGTTTTCCAACTATCCGTGATAACTACTTTTTATTATTTTGGAAGAAGACGGACATTGATTGATAGCAGAAATGCAGGAAACTGGGCTGTCAATCCCAACAGCTATGGCAATGGGAGGAGAGAACTGTCAATCCTCTTTAGTCTGGTGAAATAATACACACCAGAAGTGACAGAGGACAGCAGTGAATATGCAGAAAATCGACCTTACGCCATAGGTTTGTGTGCAACAAATTCCAAAGGCATAAACCTTAAAACAGTGACCTTCAATGTGATGAAGATTCATTGATTCACTACATTGGAAATGATGTTGAGATTGTGCAAAGTTCTCTAGGCGTAACAAGATATTCCAGCATCTATAAATGCTCCCTCCAGCGCAGAAATATGTAATTGGGATAGCATATAGCTGAATCCCTTGGTGAACTTGCCTAGATAAAACTTTGCAAATGGAGTTTATTTTTTCGGTCCATGCTTTCTTTGGAACTGGAATTATTAATAACTTCTTTTTTGGGGAATTGTTAATAACTTCTAAGTGGCTATTGTGAAGCCTTTCCTTGTGAAGCACATTTTCCTAGCTTCTTTTAATTTTGCATTTTGAACATGCTAACTTCCTCTGGCAATATGTAAAACTGCCAGACGGAAATTCTGCACCCAAAGTATCAGGATGATATTATCGTTTAAGTTTTTAGCAAAAGCTTCTGAGCAAGGGTCTAAAGGAAAATTATTAAGTTTTGCTGCCATATGTGAAAAGCTTTAAAAGAATTTTTTTTTAACAAAGTCGGACCCATTAGTTCTTTTGAAGGAAAAACACAAAAAAACCTTAGCAGTAATTCAAATTAAGCACATTGGCACAGATAATTCAGTTTTATTTTTACGTTTCTGGCATATTGTGCTGAGAAATACTAATTCTTTTGAATCCCTGCCAATTTGCGACTAATCAAAATGGAGCAGATATGCACTGTTTGGATTATACCTAAAAATAGTTGTGTTACAGTCACATCAGCAAATGGAATTAAATTAACTTCTCTTTCTTCCCCTTCACACATACCCTCCACATTATTTAAATTTCCATCAAGAATCTTGCTCCTGAATCTGAGAATTTATGACTCAGTGTGTCCCAAATTGCATTGCTACATTGCAATGATTTTTAAGCAAACTCCATCGGACTACTTTCTGAGAAATATACCTCTCCCGAAATTCCCACTTTGACCTTGCTTTCATTTAAAGAGTCTCTACTAAATAGCCCTTAGAATGTAATCGAAGAGGTGGTAATACTATAAATAGATACTTTGTGGATTAATTTACCCTCAGCAGAGTCTTTTTACCCTTTTGTGGGAGGAGGGAGATAGTTTCTGAATCAAAAAAATTGGTCATTTGATGGAGGAGTTAATAGGCTTCCAAATCTAATTTCTCTAAAGACAGACTGGAAAAAC